TTTTGGTGGTGTGTTTCTCTTGAAGAGTCAACAGGCTGCAATATAATGTAACATGTATAACTATGTATTCATTAACATATAATCACCAGAATAGAGAAATCCTTATGGGTTTTTTTTACCTTAGAATGAACCGATATGGACTTCACGACTAATTGTGATCTGCAAGTGTGTTCTTCTGTTATGATTTGTAGCTATAAACTGAATTGAATTATCCTATTTTCAGATATTTGACTTGTCATAAAAGCAACACCAGTGTCTTTTTATAACAGAACTTGTGATTGGTCTTAATCCTGTCCTTTAGAATTGCCTTGTGGATATAATAAACATAAAAGACGTGTACATGCCTCTGTATCAGTATCAGAAGATGTCCACAGGTGACTCCTCTATCCACCTGTCCTCTATCTTACGACAGATTTAATATAATTTGGTCATGTCACAGCTATATGTACTGTAGCTGCATTTGTATTTGTTTTTTGTTGTATTCAACATTGTCCATAGAGTAAGACCTGGGAGGATGCCTCGAATTTCTGTACCACCACTGTGATCTGGTGTCCATCCCTAACCCTCATCAGCAGAGATGAGACTCTTCTAATGTTTTTTTTTGTTTTGTTTTGTTTATCCTAATCACATTTATGATTTGTTTATGAGAGAATAAGTTTAAAAATCATAAATTTACACTGTTTTGCTTCTTACACTCACAAGATTTTCTTCTTGGTTAAGATCAGGTGATGGTTATAATGTATAAAAACATATATCTGGTCATGACATTAAATTGTTGGAGTTTTATGTAAATTGATTGCCTCTGAATGCTGAATAAACTGTTAAAGTGTGACGTCAGCCTCTTTTTCACTGGCTTGATTGAAATGTAAAGTAAAGTAATAAGTGATGCCTCATTTAAGATTGAAAAACATAGACTACCATCGTAATGTGTTAAAGAACCATTCAAAAGAAAAAGAAAATATGTTTTACAAGTCAATGGAAATGTTTACGTTGGTGTTATCTATTAACACTAGAGGGGGCACTTAAACCAGCTGTCGGCTGCCTGCTGCCCCTGGAAACAGGGTTGATTTTCTCACAATGATGGTCATCAATGAGTTTATATTTTCCAGTTTCCTAATGACTTTCCGGGAAGTTTCCTGGAGAAAAAAATAGTGATAGGGACTCCAATTAATAGAATTAATAGAATTAAACCCCATTACATACATGGTACATTGTACATGTTATTTACTGTCCATATGTGTTCAATTGTGTAATGTGTGTACACAAATGTAATACTTTACTGTTATGATATTTAATTCAACAACTCTGAGTCATTTTTGTATTTGGGTTTGGTTTTAACTAAAAATATGTGCTGAGAGGACATTTTACAGTTTAAAAATAAACTTTTCTTGCTCTCTACCTATGGACTTATCTGACAACACCAATACAATACGTTTTGTCTGCTCTGAATCTACCTTTTGCCTAAAGGATAACAACTTATTCTTGTCAAAAATGGACAGTTTCCTGGCAGTGATAAAGACCTTAGACTTAGAATTCTTACCTAAATGTTGCAGAGCTTATGAACAGGATTAATATACTTTTGTGAGCAGGCTTCATCAGCACAGAAGGGAGAGACATGGGAGCAGAGTAAAGCTGAGGAGAGCAGGAAGCAGGAAGGTAAGTTAAGACTGTATCAAAATGCAAAATCAGTTAAGTTTTATTCGGATTTTAGTGTTCTCAGGTGATTTGGAACAGGTTTTTCTTCAGTCTTCAGTATTGTACACTCAAAAACAAAAACACCAAAGTGCTTTTGTGTAGCTTGCTGTAAGGTTATTGTTAATACTGTGCAAGAGGGGTGTTTTGAATTCGTTAACTTGTTGTTTTTATTGAAACTGTAATCCTATATAATATGTCTGAAGTGCGGCAATTGAATGGTTATACACATTTAAGTTTAAATATAATCAATATGACCTATTTTAAAAAGCCATTATAAATGAATTTTTCAAATTTGAATTAAAATTACATATGGAAGGAATAGAGCTCTGATTGGTCAGTTGCTATGTGATGGCAGAAATTTGGTCAATAATAGCTTCCACTACTGCTCTGTGAGTCGGATTTCAGTTAAGCACATTTTTAGTGAGATGTGTGCAAACTTTTGAGAGAGTTCATAGAAATGTGGAATCAGGGTCCATGAGCAGTGGTTTAATGCATTGAATCACTGTTATAGCTGCACTGAACCACAGTTATATCTGCATTGAATCACTGCTATAGCTGCACTGAACCACAGTTATATCTGCATTGAATCACTGTTATAGCTGCACTGAACCACAGTTATATCTGCATTGAACCACTGTTATATCTACATTGAATCACTGTTATAGCTGCATTGAAACACTGTTATATCTGGTTTGATTATGATTTGCATATTTCCCTTATATTCCTTTACCTTGGACTACGGTATGATGTGTATTTACTCACATTTAGACTAGCAAATCATTGTGTTCACTGTAATATCGCCTTCATTTAAAAGAGCAAAGGTGCAGTGGAGTCTGTTTCTGCTCGTTCTTATGGGTACGTGGATCAGTGTGCCAGCTCTGCTGCAGTACTGCTGCACAACTGGGTAGCATATTTCTGTTTTGTTTACATAACAGACTCTGATTTATGCATTTCTTTCAGATTAAAATATCTTTATCTTCGCTACCCGACATATAAACAGTGACTACAGACTAGAACTAACCTCAAAGCGGTTTGGAGGCTCATTTGTACCATCAGCCATCAGACTCCACAACGCAAAGTTTAAACTCCAACCTACAACGCACAAACTTTTTGCACAACTATTTATATTTAATTTCTACATGTACAGTTTAGTTTTAGTCAAGCTGCTCAAATATTTGCACACCATTCATATTTGAATATTGCATAGTGTATATACTTTCATTTATAGTCTTATATTTTCTGTTATATTTTGTAATATTTTATTCCTCCACTTCTGTACTCTTTCATTTGCACTACTTTGCCCTATATGCTGCTGTGTCAATTTTGAGGGGGATCAATAAAGGAACATCTTATCTTATCATATCACTAAGAGAAGAAGAAGTAGATATACTTTATTGATCCCCAAGGGGGAAATCACTCTTTTTTTATATACACACACACACACACAGGCTGAATTGCCACACTTTCATGCCACATGTGGACAATGCAAAAGGGGAGATGGTTGGGAGTGAATGGGGGCTGCCGCATTACTGCGCGGGGGGCCCCCAGCGCCTCATGAGCAGGTTTCGGGGTTAGGTTGCCTTGCTCAAGGGCACCTCGGCAGTGCACAGGAGGTGAAACTGGCACCTCTCCAGCTACCAGTCCACACTCCATATTTTGTGGTCTGTGGGACTTGAACCGCCAACCCTCAGGTTCCCAAGCCAAGTCCCTACACACTGAGCTACTGCCACCCCTAACCTTGAGGAGCAGAGATGGGTCCAAGCGAGAGTCAAGATGACGACATTTTTGTGACATTCCTACGTCTGGCTGGGACATCGCTACACCTGCACCCTGGATTTGTGATTCTGGGTCGGTGACGAGCTGTTCTACCATGAGAACTGGGCCTCAGATGGAAGAAATTATCACTGTGTCATGGAGCCATGAACTTGTTACTTTGAATTGCTGTTGTGGCATATGTAGAAACCATAGCTTAAAGAGAAGAACAATCTAATTACAGGTTATATGCTTAGAGAGAGTGGCTGCAACAAAGTCAATTATAAAAGACTACATGATTACTAAGGCTGTTTACATTTCAGTAGCAAGAAAATTAAGTCTGAGGTAACCCTGAAAACTTCTGTTTGTGTCTCCTAATACTTATTACATATAACATATAACAAGCAGTCACTTTGGAATATTTTGTTTTGGTTAAGCTTTTCTGGTGTTTAAAATATGTTAAATCATATTTATGCAGTGGTAATATCTAATTTGAGAGACTACTATGTATGAAATCCATGTAAAAAGTACAATAGTAACCTATTATCAGAAAAATTTATATGGCTGTGGATTTATATTATTAGTCATTTTATTTGTTATTACTGATGCACCAGTGCATACGCAGCATTTTACTGTTGTAGCTGCAGTAGAGGAGGAGGCATTTAACGTAAAAAAAAAGCATGTTTTGGTCATGTATTTTACAGGCATATGTATAGTAAGATACTGTATAATACTGTACAATTATGTGAAGCTGCATAGGCCTAAATTGAATACTTCACTTGCACATACATAGCCTATATACTGGTAGTAAGCTCTTGCACATACATGAATACTATTATGCATACATGAAGTAGCCCTTATAATTCCTA